CCGAGGGCTGTTCCAATCGATGATGGAAGGGGTTGATGAGGGAGAAGAGGCACCTCCAGAGGTTGAGAGGAAACTATCATCAGCGCCGAGCGAAGCAGTGGGGGACGACGCGGTGGTTCAGCTTGATACCGCGGACGTTGTTGAGGAAGAGAAGGAGGAAAAGGAGGGACAGATTTTGGATGCCCCGATGGTTGCTGATAATAACGAGAAGATTGAGCGGAGCGAAGCTGTGGGGAAAATTACATATAAACATTTCTGCAGCGGGGGAGAAGTTGTATTGTGGCTAAGCGAACTGGGGCATCTAGCAACTGGCTGTCATCGTTGGGTGCATCTAGCCAGTCTGGTCGAAGACCGGGACACCTTCCTCACCATACCGGACAGCATACCTGGACCGAGAAGGATTACTTCACTGGACTTGAGTCCGTTGACGATGAGGACTCTGTTGGCCTCGGCTGATGATGGTCGCTGGATGATCGTCTGGGACCTCGTCAAGGCTGGGGTAGCTCTCGCCCCTGCCGAGGATGATGCTGTGACAGGGGAGGTGATGTCCAAGTTCGTGGAGCCTCTGGTGAGCTGGGATGGGTCTATCGGGTTAGCTTGCTGGTATCTATGTTCTTCTACCTGCATATTGCGTAGTGGCCAATTTTCCAGCAATAGTTATACCACTCCTTCACTTCATCCCACTAACGTATTATGTGATTGACTCGTTGACGTGTTCAGTCCGCTACTAAGTTGCCTCAAAGAGTTGCCTGTTGTAAGCTGTTGGCTGATAGTCTAGCAGTATCATGTGGTCGTCGATGGGACTCAGGAGGAGAGGATCAAGGCCTCGCTGATGTGAGATGCCTTCAGTGTGCTCACGCCTGGGGGTAGTGGTAGTAGTCTCCTCTCAGCTTATCGTGTGGGGACTACCTCGGACGGAATCGTGTAAAGAGGCGAAGGTCTTGGCAACGGCAAACCTGCAGCTTCCGGAGAGACCGGTCGCTGATGTTGATATCGAAATTGTAAAACAATAATTGCTTCGCTCCGCCGATCCTTTTGCCCTAGGTTGTTAATCCCTTGTCGGCGATGGAGTTTGTGACCATGACGAGCGACTCTGTGATTATGTGGCAGCTAGCTACGTCAGAGGAAGTGGAGAGGAAGCCAGAGGGCGTCGGGATGGGGCTTGGCCTTCAATGAAGTGCCTATTCCACAACAACATGAAG